GCGGAAAGACTCGCCTGGTTTTAGCAACGGTTTGGCGTAAACTCTCATAAGAGGGTGTGCTGTGATGAGGGTAAGCAGCAAACGAAGTGGGAGTGGTTTGAACCATGCGCGCAAACAGCGCACCAAGAAATCAAACGAAACGGACGTTATAGATCGTGGGAATGATGCATTGGAAACAAATTTGGAGCTGCTCATTTAAATTCCCGATAATCCTCTCGCGGGGTCATGGCGAAATCTGCTTGTCAAATATGAGGAGAATGAAAGATTAGTCAAATTATGAGCAAGATAAACGCGTAGCATTCGTTTGCAGGTCGATAGACTTTTCGACAACCTTATATCAATAAATAGGCCATTCTAAAGACTAATTTACTTGGTAGTCAATAATTGAGAGCATTAATAGGTGGATGATGCAGGAGGATGAACTATTATTGAGGAATTACGTAGGTTGTACGGACGACCAACGGGGTAAGGACTAAAATCCTGGGGAGGTTTGAACTAATACTAAAGCGCATAAAGAGACAAAACCTAGCTTTCGGTTTCCGAATCCTTAGAAGTCAAATAACTGTCAGGTATTTCGTGAGGAAGTGTTGGGAAATGTCGAATGCATACAGTTTCTTGTAAATATCTTAGAATGTTTTTAATTTTAAAGATGATTATACTCATTCCGTCGGTGTGACCAAATTTAAGTACCGTTTCTCCCATTTTGTCTTCGTTAAAATCTTCGTTATTTCAACACCTCCATCCCGCTTTTGGGGATGTGGACTGCTCAAACACGGTGTATGTTGAATTGAATAAGGGGCAGTTTATATGATGAAGCTAATTTTAAAACGACTCAAACGTTGTTGACTTCATAGCGCCAGGGGACCAGCTAGACGGAATGAGGCAAATCCGTGAAGTTTTATATTCCTACGAAGATCTCGGACTAGCTGTCAAAAGGGTGACATTCTTGGCCTGGCAGTCACAACAGCCTCTTGACGAAACGTGAAAAAAATTGTTTCAGAAAGCTAACCGAAGCAAGATAAAGTATGTATTTGTGTGCCTAAGTTTAAG